AAGAGTTGGAGAGAGACCACACTGGAATAAACAAGACGCTGAACTCAGGGGAGCCTGGGAGAGCCCTGGGTGGCTGGGAAGAGGGTCGTGTACTACAGCACTCAGGGCATAGGGGGAAGCACCTGTCAATTATGGGAATGACATATAAACAATTGTTTATAAAAAACTTTTGGAAAGTAATTCGGACAAATTGTCTTAAAAGGAAATAGATGCTATGTGGGATGATGTTAAAGAAGTTAGCTGAGTGCTAATATACTAAATAGTAGTGTAGTTATCTAGTTTGGAGCTTTATCTTTTTTAAGATGTAAACCCACAGGCCCTGCTAAAAGGATGGGTTTAGGCAGTCAGGTTTGTACTATGGAACCCACACACCCCTGTCCCCCCAAGATTGCACTAAGGATGTGGAAACCGGATCTAAGCTGAAGTAATTAGATTTTCTTAGTTTCTTAATGACCCCAAAATGATGGTCCATTGATGTTGAGTTTGGTCCAGTGCCCCAGCTGGGTTTGGCTTCGAAGGGTAGAAAGCAAAAATTATAATGCCTCCACAAGATGGAAACTCCCTCTTCTCTCACATAAGCGGAGGCAATCCAGGGCTCCCATGGCAAGCTGTTTCATTGCCATCAAGGACCCAGGCTTCTTCTGTCCTGCTGCTCTCCCGTCTTTCAATGAGTGCTTCTAAGCAGTGGTGTGCTGGTAAACTCATCCTCGGAGCGGGGACCGGAGGGCTGATTTGTAGCATTTGCCTGATGCCTATGTTGGAAATATTCCCTGAATGGCCCATTTCAAGCTACCAGTGGTTTAATAACCAGTTTGCAAAGTTACCGAATGTTCAGCATTCTTCTCTTCTGAGCCCATGAGCCAGCTCTAGCATACGCCTGCTTCTTCCTCATGGTCCAGAATGGCTGCCCCATCTCCAGACATCAGAACTGCATTGCAACCAGTAGAATGGAGGAAATCAAAAGGGAAGCAAACCTCCTCCTTTTTAAGGATATCTTCCAGAAGTTGTGCACAGCCCTTCTGCTTAAATCCCATGGGACAGAACTTAATCATATGACCACATTTACTTGGGAAAGGTATGTTTTATTCTGCGGTTCCATGTACTCAGCTGGAATTTGGGTGTTCTGTTACTAAAGAAGAAGAGGGTAATAAATTGGGGGGAGAATGAGTCTCTCACTAATGGTAACACCTGGTTCCACATAAATGTCTAAGTTAATGAGGAGACAGAAGCCCATGTTAAAAACTTCATTTTCAGAGTGAGAGGGAGTGGATTACAGCCAGCATGATCCACGTAGCTTCAGAGAGGGAGAAAATAGCTGCTTATTATTTAGATTTTAGGGTAATCAGTGATAATACCCCTTTCCCTCCTGAGTTGGAATCAGTGGAGAGGCAGATACATAAGGCAGAAGGAGATAAAAGTGTCAACTTTATTACTGATTAAAGAGTTTGGAGAACTTTGACCCTGCAGCAGCAAAGGGCTCACTAACTTCACCCCCAAAATAAACTTCTGCACCTGTCCAAGCAGAGTTGAAAAACTACAGTGCTGCCACCCTCCTTGCCCTCATTTCTCCCTGCCATAGGCACCTGCCCTTGACTGTGCCCTGTAGGAGCCCCCTCCTCCCCAAAAAGAGCAAGGGGCTACCCTAAGCATGTACTTTCTTCTCCCAGATTCACCCTTCAGAAAGTTAAGAGTGATTGAGGAGTAGGGAGAGAGGCCAGGAAGTGCCCATCCATATTAAAACAGGAGGAATAAGTTCTCCTGTCTAACACTTGAGCTCTTTCAGACCCGCGGAGGTTTAGCTAATCATCCTGCAGTTGGGTTATGTGAAATCCCTCTGAATCCTCACTGCTATCTGTGTTTACTTAAACGGGCACAGATGGTTTCTCTTCCAACACAATGGTCCCTAATGAAAAAGTATAATGAAGGGCTATCTTGGGGGCAGACACTGAATGCTGTAGGAGTTCCCAAGAACATTTATAAGAGAGGGTTGGAGCAGACAAAGGATGTTTCCTGGAAGTGGTAAAACTTGAACACGTTCTTAAAGTCTGGGCAGGGTTTTTAATAGGCTGAGGGAAGGGAGGTGTTTCAATCAAGGGGAATTTGATGGAGGAAACAAGAATCGGGGAGTGGACATGGCACGGTCAAGACGCGGGGAGGAGACCATAAAGGTTCTCGCTGTGGTACCTGCTGGAGAGCAGTGGGCAGTGGAGATGGAATTAGAAAGAAGAGATCTTGGGGACGCTGTCTGAGCAGCCTATCAGAGGAGCAGTGGATGGAGATGGAAATTTGCAGCCATTGAAGAAAAACAAAATACGGTATTTTTCACAGATTATTCTGGAGGAAGAATGACTCCTTGAACATTTCACGTGCATGGACCAACAGATCCCCTTGTTTTTGGTTTAATCCAGTTAAATAGTCCTAATAAATAGCCCTGACTAATACCTTCCACTTATAGGTCATGAGGAAGTGACTCTCAGCCTTTTGTGTCCATTAGAATAACCTGGAAGACTTGTGAACACACAGATTGCTCGATCCCACCCCCAAGTTTCTGATGCAGTAGCTCTGGGTTGGGGCTCAAGGATTCTCACTTTTGGAAGGTCCTAGGTGCTGCTGCTACCGCTGCTGGTCCAGGAAGCACACTTTGAGAACTGCTAGGATGCAGGCTGGCCTGGGATGCCTCCTGTCTGGTTTTGAATGAATGAATGAACGCATGAGAATGAATTCCCTAAACCATAACATGAGAGCTTAGATGAGATGATCTCTGAGGTCTTTTTGAGTCTATGCTTCTGCTAAACCACAGGTGACCCCATGCATATTTTTCTCACATAATAAAAACTTCAATGTTTACTGAAATCCCCTGTGTGTGTATTAATTTTTCATATTCCATGAGGGCTGCTAGCCTGACATAGGTGGGAATCTAAAGGCATGTGACTGGACTCGAGATGCTTTCTCAAGAGAGAAGACCCCCTTAACATGGGCCTTCCACATTTCACACTCAAGAAAAGAAAAAAGAAAAACAAAAGTAGCAGCTATTTCAAATAATGTCCACTCAACTTTAGCAGGTAAAAAGAGAAGGGATGAGCTCTTTTCTGTAAAGGAAAAGTGCATTTGACCCAAGACCTGAAGCTTTGCAGAGCACTCATTCAAACTGTTAAAAATATTCAGCCTTAAGAAAATGTTGACCTGATTCAGAACTGTCCAAAGACAATCATCTGGACGTTGGGCCCACTGGGTCAGAGGCTTCCTAGCTCAAACTCAGCGCAGAGGACCGTAGCCAGCTGATCAGCCCCAGATGCCGGACAATTAGTCGAGCTATGCAGCACCACAGCTCTCCCTGCTCTTCGTGGCTGAGAGAAGGTGGACTGAGCAGGGACAGCTGCGGGCAGTCACCTAGTGGACCCTTCCAGACTAGAGGTTTCCTGGGTTTCACCGGGAAGGATCTTCCTGTGCAGCTCCCCATCCAGGGGATGAGGAAGAGAGGTGATGTGTCCAAGGCAACCGGATGACAGGGACATGCAGCCCTTAGCAGCGGCGGCAAGATTCTGAGGCATCAGCAGAGCATTGAAGTTTCTTCTCTTTTTCAAGTAAGATGGGTTTTGTGGTTCATGCAAATGAGGAAGTGGTCACTTTTTTTTTTTTTTTTTTTTGCTGAGCACGCTCTCACAGAATTTTTGCTGTGGGTGAATTCTCCCGTGATCAGGACTTCTCCATGATAAGTTTGTAAATGTGGAAAATGTCCAACCCTGTAGTCTCTGTCCTGAGCCAGGATAGCCTGATCTTTGTGGGCTGGATTTATTCAACAAATTGGAAACATGTGCACGGGGCAGGAGGCAGCCAGTCTACCCACTCCAGTCTCCTCTAACTCAGGCAGGACTTCACCACTGGATAGGATTTTAAATGATCCACGCACCATCTCTTCCGATTTGGAAGCTAGGCTAACTTTCCAGCTAGCTGCCTTTACAGCCAGTTTCTGCACCGTTCTCTCTTAATCCTGGTCAATCTTTATGCTCTTGTATGATATGCATACGTTTCTATCTAAACCTGTTATATCGTGAACAGCGAATAGCCATCACTAATAATCTCAGTCCATGTCTGTGTTCTGGAGTTGAACACTGGTACTTGTCAGCTGACATCCTAATCTCTAAGGTCAGGATCTTCTGGCGGGGAGAGGGAGGGCAGTCAGGAACCAGGCTACCAACAGAATGGTTTCACACTACCCTACCTCACTTTGATCAATTACTTACAATGTCCTTTAACCTTGACTGCTGATACATTTTTATTTATCCTTGAGAATCAAGCTCAGTCATTGCCTCCTCTGGGAAAATTTCCCTCTGTTTTTTGGGTACTAATATGTCCTTTCAATAGTCTTGTAATTATTTCATGAATGAAAATGAATTCTTTGCATGTTTGTGAACTCTAAACTAATTGAAGGAAGGGCCTAGTTTGGAGGTTTTTCAGTGAATTGATTTAACCACACTGTAGACTAAGCCGGTAGCCGCTGTGCAGGACGATTTCGCGAGTTCAGGAAGAACTCCTCTACTGTCTCCCTCTGTGTCCTCTTGTTTGTTCTTGAGAACATAGTATGATTCAAAGCTTTGATTCCTTTTTGTTCCCTTAGCTCCTGGAGAAAGATCATCCTGGAAGCTTCTAGCAGAGGTTTATTTTAGGGCTAAGGAATTCAGATCTCTTCTGTAGAGGCTGTTTCAACAGGGAAAGAGCTTGAGAGGGAAACAGGGACGGGGCGGGGGAGGGTAGAGAGGAAGGGTTTATCTTGGGTCACCAGAGATAAACTTTGCCTACTTTCTAATTTCACCAAGGGTTGAAGCCTTCTAGTGAGTTAGTCCAGTGAAAAATCCAGTGTAAAGTGGAGCTCAAGTTCAACTCCTTGAGGCTGGAGAAAGGACGTTGAATATTGTGTGCGTCAATGATATATTGAAACTCGTTGTGAAATGGCTTTAAAATCTTTAGATGGTAAAGTGGTGGCAGCCTTGGAACTCTTGTGTTGAGTGTTGCCAGAAATCAGGCTATGCGCTGATGCTTTGGTGATTCCAAATTGCAATGGATTCGACCCTAAGAAGTGTGAAAATATTTCTGGGCTTTTCTGGGAGAGCTCGTTAACTTCTTTCTGCACCCGTTCTCCTGGACGCTGGGCCAGTTGGACATTGATTAGGTCTTGGTTTGATGTTGCTCATAACTATTGACAGCTTCGTGAAGGACCTTTTCCCCTAGGCAAGGCTTGAGGGATACCGGTTAGTGAAAAACATTCCTCTCCTTTTAAGGAAAGTCAGCACTGTCTCTCCTAGTTTCCGTGACTGCATCTCTGTGCATCTAGATATAGGAAATCACTAGCTTTTAATCGCCTCATTTCTGGGCCTGACCAGAATGAACTTGGTGTTTTGTATTTGTGATTTTTACTGACAGAGATGTCGCCACATCTACTGACAGAGATGCATTACTTAAAAGAGAATGTGGCTGAAACAGTTTCAAGCCTGCGATGGAAATAAAGGAAGTGGGAAGACGGGGAGGAGGGCAAGTACATCATTAAACATTGAGAGGCTGGGATTCAAATTTAATTTTTAGAGATCACCATCGTGAATCTAAATAAGAATAAAATGCACTTCTATGTTCTGATGTTCTGCACATGTGTTTACAAACTGTAATCTCTATGCCCCGTCTCCTCAGTTTTCTCGGTGGTCACATAGGTGACGGTTGTATCTGGCGTTGCCTGCCTTCCCCATTATTCCACAGAGTGGAGCTGTAACTGCACCAGACGAAGCAAACAGAATTCCGAAGATCAAAGATGGAGCGAATGATAGTGAGAGTGACGGCAGGTGTCTGTTTATCAATTGACGGGAGCGAGGAAATAACTCATCAGGCTTAGCTTGAAGATCTCAGGGTGTTGAAATCAGACTTTAAGATCTTAATCCAGGAGAATGAAAGATGAACTACCTGTAGCGTCGGCTCATGACAAGTCATTTCTTTACTCTGGCATATGAATCTTACCCACAGTGGTCTGAAGTATTCCTTTCAAAGAGATAAGTTGTTTGTTTCTCAAAACGATGACACCTTCCAGGTGTGCTCACTCAGGCAGGACGCTAGCATCTGGTATGTGCAAGAGAAGATGCTTTTCTTGTGGTACTCACTTCGTTGGCAAATATTTATTGCTGTGTGCTCTGTGCCCAGAACTGTTCTGGTCCATGAGGAGAGAGCTGAGGACTAAACAGATGAGTTCCTGACCTTCAGGGGCTCCCATTTTAGTGGAAGGAGACAGATAATAAAAGTCTAATCAAGAAGGAAATAAAATAGGGTCATGTGTTAGTAATTGGACTAAATTGGTCAGGGAAGAGCTCTCTGAGGAGGGACAAGAGAATTGAGGTCTGAATGTCGGGAAGAAGGCAGCCATTTTGCAATTTAGAGGGAGGAGGGGCTGAGCTCAGCCTATTGGGTAAGAACAAGGAGGGTGGGTTGGGTTGTGATGGACGAGGGAGGAGGGAGGGTGAGGCCATGGTGAGAAGCTGGGAGTTTGCTTACACTGCAATGAGAAGTCATGGAGTGTTTTATGCAGGAAAGGGATGCGGGCTGATGTAACTAGAGGAAATTAATTTGGCTGCTCTGGAGAGGATGGACAAACGGGACAGGTGTGGTGGTGATGGACACTTGTTAGTGGGCCTAGACGAGGGTAGTTACAGGGGAGGGGGAATGGCCAGTTTAGAGATATTTATATATTGTGGTCAGAGCTATCAGGACAAGTAGAACATAAGAAAGAAGACTCAGGTATGGCTGCTAAGTTTTTGACCTGAGCAACGAGTAAGTGGTGGTACTATTAGCTAAGGCTTCTAGTGGTGTTGGGGAGAAAGGGGAGTTAGACAGAGAAAGGATGCTGTACCGAGTTCTTTTCCCATTTGTGTAAAGGAATCAGTCATTTTGTGCCAGGCTGCTCTGTTGATGTTATTAGGGAGATGCATCAATACTTCTAGCCTATAGGGGGCACTTTTAGGAGACAGTTTCTTTCCCAGTACTCAGTGGCATACACTGTGTGGTCTGGGAGAAGCCTTAATACCAGAGACATGCAATTTCTTTAGTCAGGTTTTTCCCCCAGACAAAAATAGTACTAAGGAAGTGAGTTGGGGCTCTCATTATCTAGGCAATAGAGGAGTAGGTTACGATTTCATTTTCAGTCAGATGGTTTGCTTATTGGCTCCAGAGGCTTTTGGAATGTTAAGTGAGTGATAACAGTTAGCCTTGAGGATAAGAAAGTAAACACAAGTAAATCCCTCACATTCTTGGGGCCAACAACCCCCACTGAAAAGGGCAACCTTATCTAAAATGCTTGATTTTGTTGGGGTATCAGAGAGAAAGAGAGAGAGAGAATATTTTTTCTTGTAAATATTTTCTGTGAATGAAGATATATATATATATATATGTTATATGCCTATATTCACAGGAAACACTCTGTCTTCTCCCCGGTCCTCTTCCTGTGAATATGAGATAGCAGGAACATTCACAATTTTGGATTAAAACAGCTGAACAGCATCTTGTAAGAATAATGTCTCATTCTTTCATTTGTTTCTTCTTTCATTCGTTCAGACATTTGGTCAGTCAACAAGTATTTACTGTATACTAAGCCTTCTCTTAGCCCCTCTTTATACAAAGACTTATAGTCTATTGTTCCGTACAATTAACTGTTTTATAGTTAAAATGAGTAACAGCAACATGTTTAATTTGGGTCTCAGATGGAGAATTTCGTGTCAGATTCTGAAAGAGGGGAGACCTCATAGTAAGCGGGTTACCGTGAAGGCAGTGGGGAGCCACTGAAGGCTTTTACAGGTGGAGCAACTTGATCTGGCTTCGCACAATAGAAAGATCATTTTTAGCTTGGCTTTCATCAAAACAGGTAAACAAGGTCCTACTGTATAGAACAGGGAACTGTATTCAATATCTTATAATAACCTGTAATGGGAAAGACTATGAAAAAGAATATATACATGTACTGCGATCTACACCAGAAACTAACGCAACATTGTAAATAAACTATACTTCAATAAAAAGAAAGACCGCTATAGCAACAGTACAAAGATGAAAAGTAAATGAACAGGAGTACCCTTCACCTGCCCCTAGACCTCTGCCCTCCCTCCCAGGTCTCTCCACATATACAGGCTTGTGATTTTCCATTAATAAGTGCCTTCTGTGCCTCCTAGGAAAGACAAGAGTTATAATATGCACCTTCTTGAAGTTCTATTAGCAAATGCTTCGAGATCAGAATAAGAAAACTGCCAAACTAGTTAATACCAGTAGCTTTTATTTTTTATTTTATTATTTATTTTCATCGAAGTATAGTTGGTTTACAATGTTGTGTTAATTTCTGGTGTACAACACAGTGACTCTGTTATATATATTCCTTTTCATATTCTTTTTCATTCTAGGCTATTAGAAGGTATTGAACAGTAGCTTTTAACCTCTTCCTAATGTAATTGCTTTATTATACTGCTATCACCCGAGTCATTTTCCAATTCAAGAATATTCCTAGGAAGTATGTGGTTGACCTGTTAGTTCACCAGCCTGTTCTTTTCATTCCTCTAAGCCC